ACCCTCTTCTTTTCACTAATGAGAACTCTTTAAGGGAAGAAGGCTTTTTCCTTTAACTCTGTGACTGCTCTCTCAATCCCTTTTAGGTCCCTGAGGGCCAAAGGAGAGTAAGCAGCCTTCTTTCAGCTCTTCTTTTCCTCTCTGCCTGGAAGGCAGGTGATCAAAGGTCTTTTCATTCTTGCTCTCCCTTCCATTTGCTCAATAAATGTTTACTAGATTCTGATCATATGCCAGGCACTGTAATAGATGCTCAGTGTGTTACTCAGCCTAGAGGGCAAGTGACGTCCTAACTAGTTAGCTGCAAGGCATGGTGGGAACACACAAAGTAGCCCAGTGGGCACAAAACCTGTATCAATGGAGTTGGGTCCCATGTAAGAGCCCCCAGTGTGGGCCAATAGCCATGGGGTTAGGGGTGGCCCAAGTGGCAGCCTCTTGGTGGAAGTGATGTCAATTTCCAAGATCAAGCAGGGGGCCCATAGATCCTGTGGATTAAGGAACTGGAAGAAGACAGAGGGGCAGGAAGTATCTAAAAAGGCCAAAGTCTCTACAGAGCCAGAGACAGAAGTCCTGTCACCTGGATAGAAGCAAAACGCTGCTACATGTGGACAGGAGGGTGACCTTATCCCAGGGCCTCTACCCTCTGCTTCAGCCCTGAGCCTTTCTGATGAACAAACCCACCCATGGACTTTATCTGGACGTCAAGAGCAAGCCACCAGAGCAAACTCACACTCTGTGGTTTCCACACGAGCAGGTCTCAGAATCACTTGCAGTGTTTATGAAGCCAGATCACTGGGCTCTACCCCTGAAGTTTTCTAGGTGAGGCCTAAGAATATGAATTTCTAACAGCTTCCCAAGTGATGGTGGTGTGGGGAACCGGACTTTCTTGCAATCCACTATGGGACCATGGACCAGTGGCATTTGTCCTGGAGGCTTATTAGAAATGCAGGATCTTGGGCACCAAGTCAGACCTACTGAATCAGACTGTAGTAGGATCCTCAGAAGATTTGTTTGTTTGCCTACTTAAGTTTGAGAAGCACTTGCTAACAGAAGTGGTCCTCAATTCTTTCTGCTCACTAGAGTCACCTGGGGAGCTTAGACAGGACATAATTCAGCTGATTAGAGTTGGGTATCAGCATTTTTAAAAAGCTCCCCAAGTAGGGGTTGGGGATTTAGCTCAGCGGCACAGCGCCTGCCTGGCAAGCCCAAGGTCGTGAGTTCGATTCCCGGTACCGGAAAAAAACAAAAAACAAAAAACAAAACAAAAAAAAGCTCCCCAAGTACACTTTATAAGAAGTTTGGATAGACAACTACCAAGGCTAGTCAATGCTCATGACCAACACGCTACACTATTGGCCAGTTGTGTCAAATATAGCACATGTGCTACAGCAGGCTGTTGGTATCACTGCAAACTCTAAAAGGTTCACCATCACTGCTATAGACATTTGATCCTACTCACTCCCATTTATCTGGTACGAAGCCTGATAGAACCTCTGCATTCTCCCTTCCCCATAATGCCTAACAACCTAGTGATCAATTAACAGCTCCTTCTGGTTCCTGAGATACTAGTGCTGCCTCAGTTTGCTTGCATCTCATGCCTGATGGTCTTCAGTTTTCCAGAAGAGATCTCCTATTCCATGCCAGGTCCTGCAGCATCAGCCTGCCCATATCCTTGTCATAATACTGACATCTGTTGAGCATTAACTATGAAGTACATCAATTCTTTACACATATTTTACTTGGTCCTTACAAGAAAACCAAATTAGGTAGGATTACTGTTAATTTTATCCCTACTTTTCAAAAAGGGCAACTGAAACATGGAGAAGCTGGTCTATGTAAGTTCATTCAGTTGTCAATAGCACAACCAGGATGGGATACAAGGTTGTCTGATTCCAGAGTCTGTGTCCTCCACCTGGGCTTAACTGAACAGAGAGGGTTTTGCCCTGATGCATTGCTGGTGATGGGATTGGTAATGCATTCTTAAATTTCATTGCTGATAAGTTGGTAAAAAGCAGGTCCAGATTTACAGTAATATAGTAATTGTCCCTGCAATTTTGTCCACCAGGGGACATTTGACAATGGCTGGAAACATTTTTGGTAGACAAAACTTCAGAGTGAGGGTGTCAGCCTGCTCAGGGGGCCCAAGGGAGACTTTTGCAGTTGAGGTCCCCAAGTTAAAGAACACACATGTGCAAGACATCAGCAACAACAGCAGGCAGCATGGAGCAGAGCAGAGCACAAGAGCACAAGAAGTCAAAAGCCCAGGAGCACAAGGGCAGCCTGTGTCTTTACTGTATAACTTTTATACAAGTTGTTATCACATATTTACATTCTTATATAGTGCTATAACCAGTGCATGCATGTTTACCTGTGCTAAGTCATGGTTACATAACTGTATCCTGCTGTGCACCTGCATGGGACAAGCGGGGTCATGTCCTCAGGTGTCCTTAGACACCCCTCAGCCTGGAAGCAGTCTGAGTGGTTCCTTGAAGCAGTCTGAGGGTGCTACTGGCATGTAGTATGTAGAGGCCAGAAACATTGCTAAAATCCTACAAAGCACAGGACCAACTCCACAGAAAGTATTGCCAGCCCCGAAGTCAGCAGTGCTGCTGCTGAGAACCCTTGATCTACAGAATGCTGGTCACTGGGCAGCCACACCAGATCAGAACCATAGCAGGCAGGGCCCAGTAATGAACCTCAGGACTCTGTCAGCCCAGACAGGCAAGCCCCAGGTGCTGCATCTGGATGAATTCAGTTCTGAGACTGAAGTTATAGAAGTGTTAAGGAACTTAGCCTGTGACTCCAACTTCACAGCCACAGTTTCCTTGAAAACCAAGGGCAGGACTAGACGGGCACTACCCAAAAGGCTCATCTGAGGGGAGAACAGATGGCTGTGCTGGCAGCCTCTGCGGTTCTCCTCACCACAAGGGTGACATCAAGAAGCAGCAGAACCCTACCAAATGTGGCCTGGGGACAGCTGAACCAGTGGGGGTCTCTCATGGTACAAAGCTGACACATCAGTACCCCTAGGTGGCGGCTGGTCCAAGACACCCGCTCAGATTCCCATTCCTTGTTCTTTCCTTTTCCTGCTCATTCTGAGTTCCATAAATCCAAAATTCTCTGAGTAACACAATCGAAGCTCCTGCAGGGAAACGATGTTGCCCTGAGGCAGACATATGGCTGATACACTTTCCCTTTTGTCTCCCCAAAGGGTGTCTCATTCTGTCTAAATCCTCTCTGCTGTTCCTGCTGCAGTCCCAACAGGTCACAGTTCCCTAACAGATAGAGGGAGCCCACCAGGTTTGCTACAAAGCCCAGAGCTGAGCTGGTGAGCTGGGCTCCTTGGGGATGGGTGCAGTTCTTCTGCACCTACCACGGCATATGTGTCTGCCCTTGTAAAACTTTCATTTCTGCCTCTCAAATCAGAGAGGAGTGAGGGTGCAGAAATCAGCCCTGCTCTAAATATTCCCAGGTGACTGCTCAGTGAGCTCATGGTGCCTCCTTTCTGCAGCTGGGAGCGGACACATGTGTCTCTCGGAGCGCTCCCAACCCTGACACATCAGCTGCTTTCCTGACTAGGAGCAGTGCTTCAGTGTCTCCTGAGGGCCTTGGCACGTAGACTCTGGACAAGAGAGAAACTACCTGCCTGAGACCCAGTGGGGTTCCTGCGTCCCTTGTCTCCTCCCTCTTCCCTGCCCTTCTGTATGTAGGTTCTACTCAAAGAAATAAAAGAACCTGATATTTAAATCCAATTCTCTCTCATGCCAAGGAGCAGAGTAAATCCTGGGGAATTTAAATAGGAATAATAATAGGAATTTAAATAAAACTCTGACTTAAGATGCTTTCAGGCCAGCAAAAGAGACCCCATGTCCTGGATCTCTGACTAGGGGATGCCAGGCACTGCCGCTAAGGAAGAGCTTCATGGTATCTTGAAAGCAGAGTTATATGGTATTTTCAGTTCATATAATACTAACTTAAGAACCACCAGAATAATCAGCCTCTTAAATTACAGAAATTCTTACTTCCCTGCAACACATAAACCCCATTTTCCACAAGGTGGGTACCCAAACACATATGGCTAGCTAGGAAGCCAATGCCAGTACCTTAATCTGTCAGTACACAATGCCTTCAACATACTCGCCTCCCTCCAATGTCCATCCTGCTGTTTGGGGCTGGTGCAAAGTCAGTTCCCTGCAGCAGGTGGGAAATATAGCCATGCTGCTCTTTGGCACCTATGGGTCCCTGGGGTGGAGGCCAGGAGGTGGGAGGGGAGTACTGGAGTTGCTTGCTTGCTCAAGCCTCTGCAGGAAGCTCAAGGGCTGCCTTGACACCATGAATGGCTGGAGACAGGGCTCTTCACAGAGCTTCTTTTTGCTGGGAAACAAAGCTTTCTACCAGACCCAGTCTCTGCTGCCCACTGGAGGTGTGGCCTGACCACGGGAGTGGCAGAAGGGAGCCCTGTGAAGGGGCTCTTTGGCAGGTAGATTGGGGAACCAATGATAAGAGACCCCTCAGCTTCTCTTCTCACATGCAAGATGCACAAGGCTATCAGAGGAAAGGCCTGTCCCAGTGTTGGCAGAGACACCAGCTTGACTTCTTGGGGGTGCACCCATCGTGGCCTCCTCCACTTTGAAACCCAGGCAGGGACATGGGACTCTATCAAGAGAAAACAACTACAGCAAAGCATTTTTAGAGCTTCATGAGTTCACAACAAGTGTCACCTAGGGTGACCCTCCGATGACGGAGAAGGTGTACCTCCCATCCTTTCCAATCCCCAGTGGAAGGGGCAGGTGGTTGGGGATGTCTTGTGGCAATCAGCGGTACAGATGGGGCAAATTACCACATCATCATCCCTTTAGTGTCCAACGGGGACACATGGTCTACCTGTACCAACTCTCTGCACCAGCCACTACACACAGTGGGCTCCCAAATCCAGCCAGCTGCGGGTCTTTCCAGAGTACAAGGAGGGGTGAGGGTAACAGTCTGGGAGAAAGAGGAAGTACCTCGGATGTCGAGTGTCCGGGACAGCTCGATTGCTGGAGATCCGCTCGCTCTCTCTCTGGTTGAAAGCATACAGCTTATAGGGGTCATCACCAACGCGCCACTTTTTGGCATTCAGATACCGTCGTTCATCAAACTGCTCCCATAGGTCTTCCCAGTCAGCATCGGAAGGCTGTGTGCGAAAACAATAGAAAGTCTGTGAGAATGGGCCCCTGCCCTCTGCTAGCCACCTGTCTACTTACCAGCACGCAACCACAGAGACCAGCTTCATTCTCATAACACTGGCTTCAAAGATGAGGCCAGAGACAGAACATTAACAAACCCATCAGCAACAGTAATAAACAAAACAATGACAATAGCGGCCACTGCCATTTACTGAGTGTTATATTCTGGGCTCTGCTCCAGGACCTGGACTCACACTACCTCATGTAATTCTCACAGCATTATGAGATGGAATTGCTCATATTCCCATCATACAGATGAGAAAGAAGCTTTTGTAGCTAAGTACCTTGCCCCAAATCCCACAGTTAGGAAGTGGCAGGGCAGAGACTTTTGAATTCCAGTATCCTGATCCCACAGGGCATCTCTCTCCAGGACAATTTGAGGACTGCTGACAGAGTGGCCGACACACAGCAAGTATGTGATCACAACCTTCCTCTCTACCTCTGGTGGCAACAACAAGATGTAAACTATCCATCTCTAACATTGTGCTACCTACCAGACTCCCCAGAGCCCTTTCTCCTTTCAATCCAAGAACTTGTACCTATTTTTAGGAGGGATCAATGAGGGAATGATTTATGAGCTCAGCTGTATGTGTGTGTGTATATATATATATATATATATATATATATCTGTATGTATATGTATGTGGACTCAGCACTTTAGAACATGTAAAATGGTTTCTGCATTTCTTTTCACTAAGACCCTCTGGGCTGGGCAGGGAAGATGAGGTTCCAGAAAGGTCCCTGGCCTATCTGAGGTCATTCACTGGCAAGAGGTAGAAGCCAGGGCACAGCAGCAAGAGGCTGCCTTCTTACCAGAGCTCAGAGCGCTTGGTTGTCCTATCCACAGCAACTCCACAACCAACAAAGATAACCCACCCAACCAGCAGGGCTGAGATTCCTGACCTTGGCATGCAGGATATTTAGGTTCGGTAACCACCTCCCAAGGGATGTTGCCACTTTCCCCTGGGGATGAGCAGTTGTGTTCAAAAAAGCTCAGACCTTTCAGGTTCATCTAACCATGAATACTGCGTCTCTAGGAAGACCTTACTGGTACGGTTCTGCCCTGGAACAGGAGGTGGCCATCATGGGCCCAGCATGTCACTGAGGATGAGCTGTTCATTCATGTGTTACTGACCCCAATTATCATGCAAGTGTCTCACACTGCCCAGATTTTAAAGGAGCAGAAAGCTACCACCACAGCAGAATAAGATAAAACATTTCTGTGCACAAAAGCTTGAGGGGAAAAGCTCAGGGCAGGCTCAGCAGACAGCAGCACAGGCACTCGGCCCCTGCAGCAGGAAGAGGGGCTGCACCCGTCTGCATGTTCATCTCAGGCGTTGTGCGATCTTATCTGGTAATTGATCTCTCTCTCCCTGTTTGTTATCTCCACTTGAAACAGCCTTCTCCTGCTAATAGCACAAAATGAAGCTCTGGAACCAGTGATTTTTATCCAATAATTCATTTTATTAACATTCTGTGATACTGTTGCTACAGAACCTGCTAGGGGGAATTTAGGTGGGGTGTGAAACCCCACGACTGTGCTGTGCAATGTCACAGCCTGACAGCTGTCATCTCTGGCTGGAACATCACTGTAGGGTTACCCTGACATCCTGTCCTTGTGGGAAGGGCCATGGAACTGTTTCCCACTAGCTCAGTGCCAATTTAATTCATTGTAATTTGCTAAATAAGTTGGGAGCCCTTATAGTGCTCCAAGCTAGGGAGCAATGAGGATACACGGCTTGTGCCCTCAAGATGGCTACAGCATTGCAGACATACCCTTGGAGATACCTGTGCCACACCACAAGGTGAATCTGACCACAGAAGGTCAATGGCAATGCTAGGAAAGCACAGAGGAGTGAAGGAAATAGGGAATCGTTTCTTGGATGAGGTGTCAAATGAGTCCGACTTTAAAGGGTGAGAAAGGACTTCTGTTTTGCTTAAAGTATCTGGTGGGTACGTAGCAAACAGCTGGAGGAAAGGCAGTATATTACTCAGGGTTTTTTAAAGTAACAGAGTCAATAGGGTGTGTGTGTGTGTGTGTGTGTGTGTGTGTGTGTATTTAAGTTTATATAGAAAGAAATCACAAGGAATTGACTCACATGATTGTGGAGTCTGACATGTCCCCTGATATGTGATGGTCATGCTAGAGACCCACAAAGAGCTGATACCTCTCTCAGTTCAAGTCCAAAGATAAGAATAAGACAGTTCAAAGGTATCCAGGGAGGAAGAATTCCATTTTAGTTCCACCGTTCTATTAGCCACTTCAGGCATATGTTAATCTCATTCAGAAACACTCATGGACATACCTATATGGGCACTGACCAAATGCCTGGGCACCCAGTGGTCCAGTCAAGTCAACTGTAGTGTAACATTAACCATCCCAGATAGCAAATCCAGAGACAAAGCATCTGTTTAGGGAATGGTTAGCTCAGGAACACAGAGGCTGGAATGTGGATTGCAAAGAGTGCAAGAAAACTACAGAACACAGGTGGACCTTACAAAGCAGATCACGAGAAAAGGTCTCTGGTCACATGTGTGGGATAGAATAGAGTAGGGATGTGGTGGATTGACAACTGGTGGTCAGCTTGTAACACCTGGCTGAGCTTAACCAGTGTGGTGCTGGGTGTGAATGGCCCACCTAAGGATTGTTGTTGGCAGCATGAGAGGCAGAACAAGAGAAGTAGAGAGGCTGTTGGGAGCTGGTAGAAGCTGGAAGGAGCTGTTGGTTTTCTTGGAGGAGCTTGTCATGCTGGCTTTTCTTGACGAATTCTCAGCTGTTCTCATTGTCCAAGGAGCTCAGGACCTTGTTGTCACTGAGAGTAGCTTCGGTTCACCTTGGGGGAGCTCTGGTCCTCACTTCGAGCATCACTTCCTGGCTCCAGAGGGGAAGATGGTGCACTGCTCAGTGTCCCGGAGAAGCTTGTTGCATTGGCTTTCCTGATGGAAACTTGGCTTTCCTCATCATCAGAGGAGCTTGGGACCTCACTGTTTCTGAGGATGGCTGTGATACTTTTTGGGAGAGCTCTGGTTCTTATCTTGAGTGTTGCTTCCTGGCTCCAGTTCAGATCTCTCAGTCTACTATCACAGATTCTTCATCCTACTTGCACAGATTTTCTAGCTTCCACCACTGACCTTTGGGCCTTCCCAGTGCAGATCTGTGAAACAGGCCTGCATGAGACCTTGTCATGGGCTCTAGACCTCCAGCTGGACTCATGGGAGGCATTGTTATTAGCTCTAGGTCTTCAGCTGGACTCATGTACATTATTGTGGGATCCAGGCCCTTGGCTGGATTCTTTAGTCTTTAGTGTGTGGACAGATTTCCTGCACTCTCCCTTTTGTATATGATTCTTTGGGTGACTATTATAAATAATCTTATAAAATGTGTCCTGTATTACACTGCTCCCCTTGCAAAACCCTAAACTACAACAAGAGAGATCTACTACACAGGCCAGATGGGAAGTGACCTCAATAATCTAACCTGATGCCTATAGTGGGGCTCTACTGGGTGCCACTGATGGTTCCACCCATCTGCTGGAGAAGCAGGTGGTAGAGCAGAGCCCAGGACAACTGGGCTTTCTAGCCCAGAGGCTAGAAAGACAAGATATAACACACCACTTATCCTCATCCTAGTCCCCTACTCTCTGTTCACGTCAGAGGGACAGAGCCAAGTGGGCCCAAGGCCAGTAGCTTCCCAGCCTGGTTTTCCCCATCCACAGGGTAGCCAAGCTTACCCAGCACCCCTGGCAGGAGCTTCATCCTGGGAGAAGATGCTGTGAAAACTCAGCTGGAACTGGCCCCAGAAAGCCAGAGAAACAGCCAGGCTGGCAAGAGAAATCGCATACACAGTCTTTGGAAGGCATCCTTGGCGGAGTCTGTTCGCTTCAGTGTGTCACGTGTACAGAGCTGGCTCACAGGCTGATGCACTGAAACCTCTTCAGAGGCACAGCCTGCCCTAAAGGCTGGGCTTTTTCCTACTGTAACATCGATTGTATTAGATAATGGCAAAAGTGTGTCTAAAATAATGACACACATTTTATCTTTATATATGCACATATATTGTCATAGACTCCTCATACAACCCTATCTGTGTAGGGAGGGATGGGATTCGAGGAGCAAGGTGGCTTGCCCAAGCTCACAGCTAGCACAGGATGAAACCACTGATGTAATCCTCCCAAAGAAAACCCCACCACCACCATCACCACAGACTGGAACAACAGAGTGAATAAACATGCACCAAAGGGCCGAACTGCTCTAAACCAACTGACATCACATGAGTTCAACAAGGGACTTAAGCCCCATGGAAACCTCGTTACTATGGTATGGAAAGGGGGACACTACCCACTGTGAAGGTTTTTGCTGAGGTCAACTTGACCTCAGCATGGTATAGAATGTGATTAATATTAATAAATTGGCATAAAATAAATTGAGAGTCTGTCCTAGGCTTACGTGATTCATGGTGAGACCTGCAGCTGGCTTACAGACAGGTTAATTCTTAAGCCAATGGACAGAGCTGAGACCAGAAAGTGGTCTGTGAAGTTCTGGCACCTCAAAGCAAGATAAAACGGCAGCTGAGGACTGACTCATCTAAATTCCTTCTAGTTCAGTAGTCCAATTAACAGATAATCAGATTACTGGTTAATCATGATCTGTTCCTGTATGCTTTTCCAGAAATGCTTTGTCCCTCAGTCCTTGAACCTTGCCTTTGTCAGCAGTTCCCCACCACCACTTTCTGCAGCCCACCGCTTTCTAACACTCCCCCTATTAAACTGTGCATCTAATGAAGGCCAGGGACACCATGCTTTTTGGGTGTTGTTACAAGTTGACCATCAGTTGTCAATCCACCACATCCTTCCTTGTATCCTTGGTCAGGAGATCAGTGGTCCTAGGCCAGGACCCTGACAGCTTTCACATCAGGGTTTCAGAGAAGAAGCTATTCTGTGAAAATGCT